TGAATGGGGGCCTCGAAATCTGTAACTTTCAAAAAAAAAAAAAAATAATAGCTTCGTCAGAAATGGATTCTGAAGAAACACAGAAAACAATTGTTGTTGTGTTAGCCCACAGTCGTCATGTTGAAAGAGAACCTACCAACCTGTTATTTTGGGTGATAAAAATAATGCTTGGCTAGTACGAACAATTTTCAGATTTACGAAAATGTTGAAACGATTGACATTGTAAATTTGGTGCTGGAAATGCGAAAATCAAGAATGGGCCTAATTCAAACGCCGGAACAATTGCGATTTTGTTGGAAAACAATTGCTGATGTGCTGCGACAGGGTTGCGCAAGAAAATCGGCAAAACCTGGGTTGCTGAAGATCGCTCTCAAGAGATTTGGAAAGGATTTTTTGGTCGGTGGGCCAGACGCTAGCGTTGGGTTTATCTGTGCCGCCGCAGTTGCCGCTTGTGCTGCTGCTTATTACATTTATCATTTAGTCTTTTAGTGGCTGCGGCAAAATGCCCACGAATCCTGGTCTAGTTCTGTGTAATGGCAATTAAAATATGGGTGAGGCGCTGTCATCAGATATGCGTGGCAGGCCGCTTTACTTATCGGGTAGATGGGAAGAGGGGTGTTGGTTGGTAGGTGCCTGGATACTGCTCGGGGGACACGGATTAAGGCAGGATAGAGAAGAGGAACAAGGGGATAGTGAGGAGTATGGAACAATTAATTGTGATAAAGATTGGAAGGGGAGAGGGGGTGATAGTTGTTTAGATCTCGCTTTGCAAGCAAGATTTGGGGACAGGACAGAGGAGAAAAACAAGTTTATTAAAACCTGATAGCTCTCAGCCTTACCTAGGCATCAACTATTCGATCTTGCATCTTTACCTAAGCATCAGCTTATAGATGGGGAAGTCCCTTACTGGTGGTGGTTTTTCGTTTGCTTTTCCTGCTTTTACTTTTTTCTTGCTTCCATCCTTCCCACCCATCACCCCTCCCCTCTTCCTTACGAGGCCTAGGCAACTGCCAGGAGATCTACGCCATGTGGCCTTTTCGTCCACTCACCAGAACCCCTTTCCGTGCCTCGAATCCCCACGCGCGAAATCCGCACACACCACCCCCTCACACCTACTCCTGTGTCTCGAATTTCACACCCTGTCTCGAATTTCACACCCTAAAAATGTTCTCATGCATTGCCAACCTTCCTCTTCTCCCTTCACCGTGTGCTTCCTGCAATATACCGCCTTTTCGAGCCATTTTCATGCCCCGCGTATCCGCATCAAAAACCAGCAATACGGGCCCTCGTTTTCGTGCATCATTCCCTTCCCTTCCCTCTTACTTGGTTACGCGACGTTACTGCTCAATCCACCCTACTAACCCCCTTGCTCTACCTCCAATCCCTACTGCTGGAATCCGCACACAAGGCTCTTCTCTACTACTACCCCATCTGCGGCATCCAGCGCTCTATGCCGCGACGGAATAAGGAGCCCAAAAAAATTGGCCGCAGATCGTGTACAGACCTGCCCGAGCGGAACCGAGTCGTGTTTTAGTAACTACCCTGGAAGTCTCCTTTTCTTTTGTTTCACGGTTTATGGATTCGGATGTGGCGTAGGTCCCGCTATCGAATTCAATTTTTTGGCTAGTTTGAGGAATTTTATTGTCCATTTGTTACGGTTTTTTAAAATCTGTTATTGTTTTGTAACTGTTTTTGTGTGTTTATCAGCAGTGCTTTTTTTTTTCTCGTCAAATGCTGTCATCCTTAAGGTTATTTGCTGATTGATTGCATGGAACTAGTGCCTTAGTTTTGCATTCAAAGCGTAGCGCAGATTGTTTTTGTTGGAATTTGAAATTTTCCATTGCATTTTCACCAGTACCTTATTATTTGTAATATCAGTTTTTTCTTTTATCAGGGTAATTTTCAGGTTGAGGATACATCTGTAATTTCAGGTGAAGCAACTCCAGTGGGCATTGTATGATATGAAAAATTCCTTACACACTATGCCTTCCGAGTGTATTTCTTTGAGCTGTATGTCTCGAATTTCGGTTTTGATTATTTACAATACTAAAACCTTTGTGATCTTGGTTTTTTCAGGTCGGAAGGCTGCCTCTTATTCTTCTAGATTTCGTGCACGCAGTGATATCTGAGTCCTAAAACTTATTCCTCGTAAATTTTCCAGAACACTTTCTCGAGCCTTTTTTTTTGGATTTCCTTAAGCATCAGGAATTAGTTCTGTGATGCTATTGCACTCTTAATTTTCCTAGGTTCT